ATGACAAATATTTTTAACAATCATTAAAAAAGTACTCTGAATAAAAATCTGAGCACTATAATTAAATGTAATTAAATCAATTAAATTGATATCAATCAATAAATTAAATATAATTAAACAAACCAATCTCTTGGAAGCAAAATATACAAGCACTTGAGAATACTGATGTTTTATAATCTTCTGGGAAAGGTCACAGAGGTATAGCCTTTAGCATTATGGTTGCTGCTGCAGTTCAGCTTCCCAGAAGACAAGCATCTACAGTCAATTACCAACCTCAGTCACATTTACATATCATTTTTTCTTAAACTTCCTTTCAAGCACTTCTTGGAAGATAAAATTCACCTTTTATTTTCAGCTTGAACTGAATACTATTCATTGTAATGTGCATTCATGAGATACATATTTTTATGACAATGACTTGGATATTTCTGATTTCACAGGCCACTGAATTAGAAGCATGATGAAAGGAACTGACTGGACCATTCCCAATGAACATAAGTTATCAGTTGATATGAATCAGCAGGCATGGGCATACTTTGTTATTTGTCATACCCACTGTCACAAAGTGAGTGAACCATCACCCTGATCTCTTTTACCCTGGAAAAAATGCAGTCTTGTACATCCATGGCTAGACAATATGAACATGCATCCAGAGGCTCAAATACAGTTAGATGGAGTTTGTGATGTTTCTACCCTTTAAAATTGTCAGTCCAAGCTTTTTCTCCACTGAATTTCAAAACATTACATTAATACAACTTCACAGGACTTCTAATGAAATAAAACACTACTTCAACATGTAAAAACATATTATGTGAATTTGCAACTGAATCTAAAGATGCCTCCTCTACAAAATCAATCTATCATAATTCAGAATTTGTGGAGAAATTTCAATTTTCTTGTTGCACAGCCACAATGAAATGTTTAAATTTTCCCTTTGACAAATTAGGATTCTGTTTTCAAAAATCCAGAAATGATAATGGTGGAGATTTTAGAGGTTTTATATGCTAAATATAAGTGGATTTTTACTGTATCTTGATGTGGATGATTTCATATAAAAAGCTGATAAAGAGATACCATTCATCAGAATTAAAAAAAAAAAAAAAAAAAAAAAGGCACAGAAAAGATGTAAAGGATAAGGTTAAACTTCTGCAGCATTACATAAATTTGCATTTGCATTTGTGGGATTCTGTGTTTACATGTACTAGTACATGTAAAAGAATGTAAAGAATGCTTGGTGATCCAGATTCAGAAGTGCATGACTACTTTATCTTGCCAGTGGAGCAAAGAAACAGTGGAATAAAATTCAAGATTCCTTGGCTTCTTGTCATGCAACAGGACAAATTTGATTCCAAAGTAGAGACTTTGAGATGTTTGAAGTGAGCAGCTGAATATGCATCCCAAAGTACATAGCTTCAAAATTATCTTCAAGAAATTTTCTTCATTTTGTCCTTAAGCTGAGCGACTCAGACCAGACTAACCTGAAGCCAAAACAGCATTCTGGTCCTGTCCATGGAACTGACATGATAATTAACAATAATTAAGAGGACTAGTCACAAGGAGAAAGATTTCACACCTGCCTCTTGACAATTTATTTTCATCTATCCTGTTTATAGGAGCAGACACAGTCAGCTGAACTAGCAGATGCAGGAAAAAAAAAAAAAGTTTATGTTGTTGCTAAGAAAAAAAGTATGAAAGAAGATCTGTGGTATTCGATATCTGACATTTTAAAAGCTTTTAATCCCTTGACATGTAAGAGAAAATACAGATTTGAAAAAATATTCATAATTAGCACTGCAGTATTAGATACCAGTCTGCAAACATCACCCTGCAGTACTTTGGGTGAAGATAATCAAGGAAAATCTTGAATATGAGCATGTCGCTATGTTTTTATATATATCTTCATTGAGTACATAAAAGAAAATTGCTTAAACAAACGTAAGACATGAGAGGTAGGAAAGAATCTCCATATCTCAAGGTCTGACTTAATCTAGCTCTAATCATTCCCTTCTTTGAAAGGAAAAAATGTCTTCCTAAAACAACATGTATATTAAAGTCCTCAGATAGCTGCTGACAGCATTGTCCATATCAAAGATGTACATCAGCAGTTTTATTCTGTGTTTTTGCTCAGTCCTTCAAGATAGTTCTCCCATGAATAATGCTCTTTGGGGTTGCTAAAATTCCAAATACTCTTCTACAAAACGAGTCACTGACACATCCTAATCTAGTGACCTCAGGTTCAGTTAAGTACATCACAGATATAATTAAACCCAGGAAAAAATAGCATGTTCCACCCATATTCTATTATACGTCCAACAAGACAGTTACATATACTATCTACTAGCCACAGAAGATTCAGGTAACACTGACACTTGTTATAGCATATAATCTAGTTGGAGTTTCTTCTATTTTTAACAAGTTCACCATATAATCAAGTACCCTTTTCTGTGTTTTCTATATAAGCAACATTTCCGTTGACAGTAGCACATGCTAAAAATGTTCCCTGATGTCCTGTATTTTGACTGGACAACTCGTAAGGATCTGAACTTAACATTTTTAGTATTCAATTGAGAATTTGTGCTTCAAATTACACGCACCAGGGTGGCTATCTGACATATTTTTCTACTGTTATAATAATAATCATTTTCACAGGATACAGTAACACTCAGGCTGTAGACCAAGGCCTTAAGCTTTCCTTAAGCATGCTAACATAAATAATATTATTTTTTAGATTTTGAATGATGTTATATATTTATTTTGATATTTGCTTAATCATGTCATTTACCTCCTTTCAGATAATTTGGCCTTTCCTAGATTATTTCCACGTTTTCATGCAGTTTGTTTTTTTCCTCTACAGTTTTATTTTATTTACAGCTGTTCCTCTTGTTCTATTATAGTAATGTCTGAATTTCATTTTCTGTGCTTGAATATCATTTTCTCAAGCAATTCCATCTAGCTCACAGACATATTTAGTAAGCATGTTCCTTCACTGTGCAAGCTGAGACACAAGCACCTGCCTATGTTTAAAATGATGAGGCTGTATGTTTTTTTAAACTTTATCTAAAGAGTATTGGTTTCTGCATGACTGTGCAAATTTATAAGCATATAACATTTTTTTGTGCTCAAAATGATATAATTTAGTCACTAGACAGAACTATCTATAGAAAACTTCTCACAATTACTTTCCTCTGCTGCAAAAAATATATATGTTTTGTTTCTCCTTAGCTATTTTCCATTTTTACTTTAAGGCTTCAGCACACCTCTCTCACTTCTCACAATTACCTGTTCAAAAACTGGGCAGGTTAAGACAATATTTTAATACATGATGTGTGAAATCATCTACTTTTTTTCTTATAAATATTTCTGATTATAACATTAAGTGCTGCTTAGATTCAATAATCATAATGTCCTATAATCTTGTCCATTTTTATAGTCTGATCTCATTCTCTGCAGCAAATTCCCATTTTTTCTACACAGTCAGAATATTCTGGCAGTATTTTTTTCTTAAAACACAATGCTCAAGTACAGTTCTAACAATTTCCCAATAAGGTTTCTGCCTACCTCAAAACCTACATGTATGTCATGTGAAAATCTCAAGTCTTTCAAAACATTTCTAAAATTTATTGATCTTGTTTCAATTTTAAATCTCTCAAAAATTCCTTCCACAAATTATGGTCTCACTCCCCTTTCTTTACCAGTTTCATAATTGGATTGCATATTGCGTGTTAAATAAATTAATTCCTGTACCTTCACTGACTCAAGAAGACTTGTATTCTTGTTCCTCCTCAGAATGTCTACAATTTCTACTTCTAGCCCTGATGATAATAAAATAAAATTATGAGCCAGAACTAATACCAAAGAGAAGCCTTTTTTCTACCTACAGGAAAACTAACATTCAGAAAGAAAATTAGAAGTAGTATCTTTAGCCATACAGCTGCTAGTGTTTCAGTCCAGAATGTTCCTAGCCAGTCAATATAAATACAAATATCATTTTCATGTAAACTTCCTTTAAAAAAAATAAAAGTAAATATCAACCACAAAGGATGAATATCTACTCTTAAGGTCACATTCCGATTTTATTCCCTAATACTGCTAGTGCAGTGTGAGCAACTGAATATGAAATCAGAGAATCATTCAGGTTGGAAAAGACCTCTAAGATAATCTAGTCCAACCACTGACCCATCACTTTCGTGTCTGCTAAACCATGTCCCTCAGCACTACACTGACACAGTTCTTCAACATCTACAGGAACAGTAACTCTACCAGTTCCCTGGACAGCCTATTCCAGTGCTTGACCACTCTTTCATGGAAGAGATTTTTCCTAATATTCAATCTGAACACCCCCTGGCACAACTATTATCTCATCAACAATACATCTAATCTAACTTGTAATACTTCTTAACCACTTGAGGAGAAGCTTCTGCTGGCATGAAATCCCTCAGTCCATGTTGTTGGATTCACTGACATTATCACACCTTATGCAATTATACAATCCAAATTTCTTAATAAAGCTCAATAATCAACTCCTTGCATTGTGTGATTCAAATTTCCTCTATTTTTTTTAAGACTACTACCTCAAAGTTGCTCAATAGAAAAACAGGAATGTTATTTTTTTGCTGACTTTTCATTCCAAGAAAGGATGTGCACTAAATCCATTTAACACAATGATTTTGAATAGACATTTGCAGCTCTTCAGCACAGACCTGCACTTCAAATGTCGGTCAACAGAAGATAAGACTGCATAGGAGGATCACTTTTAAGAAATTAAAGCTAATTAGATATTACTAATCAGGAAATTTGAATTAAAGGTAACTGTAAATACAGTGTGAAATGATAGAATATAATGAAAAGAGCATTGAAAAAGTGGATTTTCAGCAATAGAATTGCTTATCCTGAAATGTTTCACTAGTAGACTATCCACTCCATTAAAATGCAGAGATAGCTACTTTATTAATCCTTTTTAATAGTCCACTGTCATTCAGATACCTTTTTTGCTGATCTCAGAGAGCTTAGTTCAACCAATTAAGAGCACAGAAAAGTGTCAGCATAGAAATGTCAGTATGCTCTGCCTATGAAATATGAAAATACATATTCAGAAATATGAAGGATGTTGTCCTTTCATAAGCAAAAAATAGAAAAGGACAAAGACTAGCTGGAACACAAGAGGGTTTATTTTTTGTCAAACTTCTTTGCCTTTTTCACACAACAGTTGTCCTGTCCCAGGTGCAGAGTTCTTTGCACTTGCTCTTGTCAAATTTCATGCAGTTGGTGATTGCCCAGTTCTCCAGTTTGATCTCCCGACAGTGCTTCTCATCCCTTAAGGGAATAAATGTCTTCTACCAATTTAATATCATCTGCTAATCTATGTAGTATACCTTTGAGTCTTGTATCCAAGTCATTTACGAAAACATTAAAGAGAACCAGCTCTAAAATTGAGCACTGTGAAAAAAAACAAAACACCAAAGTTTCCCAATGTTTACTAAGCACAGAATCAGTAAAAAAAAAAAAAAAAAAAAAGTGTTAAATTTAGGTACTTGAAGGAACATTACATACCATATCTATAAGATAACAAAATGACTGATACCCTCCTGGATGTCTACAAATTTTACTGCTACTCAGGACACATGGCTAAGAAAACTTAGCTTATTGCAACGACTTAACAATTCATATTTCAGGTTCACTGAATAACTTTAAGTGTCGTTATGGATCAAGTATTTTAGTTAAAAGGAGACAGCAGTAACTTCTTCCAAATTGTTTTGTTTGTCCAGTTGAAGTTTATCAACAGAGCAAGTATAACTTCTTATTATGTAGTAATAAGGTTGAAAAAAAAAACAACAACATAAATTTCCTACCCCTAAACAACAAATTAAAGAAACATATTGTACTGTCCTAAGTTTGTTCTATTATTTTTCTTCTTTGTTAATTATACTCTCACACTAACACACTATCAGGCTATGTCAGTCAATACCATCAGAAAATAGTACTGGCGGAGATTTAATGGAGGTATCCAGGCCATATTCCGGCCCTAAAACAGGATCAAGAACACCCAAATCATTCTAAGACATATACCTAACCCCTTCTTACACCCCCTGACTGAGGGTTCAAAACTTCCCCAGACAATTTATCCACTTGTTTCAAGCTCGTGAGCAGGAAAATCACTCATGTTGTCTAATTCTCCTTACTGTAGCCTAAGTAATAATTAGGAAAGAGAGTGGAATATTAAAAAGTACATAAAGTAGATGGAATTTTGAGTATTTGGTTGAGAATATCCCACTTAAGAAAAACTTTCAATTTCATTGAAGCAGTCACTACAAACAAGTCATATGCTCAACATGCTTCAGTATGCCCTCCTAGTGCAGATTTGTAGGTTGCTCATACACTTGACAGCCTGCGCTTATCTGACCAAAATAAAACCAAAACAGATTATGAAGAGATTTAATTCCTGCAAATATTCAAAAAGAAGACAACTGAAATCGTTCAACAGTAAACTAGTTTGAGGTCTAGAGAGTTTCCTGAGTTCAGATATGAACTTCACCACGATTATTCAAACTGAAAATAAATCATTAAAAATAATAATAATAATAAAAAAAAAAAAGTTAGATCTAGAAAGTTTTACTGGGGAAGCTGAGAATCAGAATTAACCAATTCAGACTTCAAACACTTCTAGATGAATGCAGAAAGAAACATCTTGTTCCTGTTAGTTAGCTGTATGATTTTTCCTTGTGAGAAGGAACAAACATGTTACTTAATTCAGAAGGTTCCCTTCTGAAATAACTAAATTTAAGTCACTGTTCACTAAGAACAGTGGGAAATTGGCTGTCCAAGAAGAGTGCACAGTACAGAATTTTTTTTTTTTAAGAAATTAAAGAAACAACTAACATTGCTTCTGACAGTTTTACAAATGCTTTGTACTAAGTTCAGTGAAAATCTGCTGGTAACAAATTTGTGTACTTAGTTGTTGTACAGTTGTCCATAGTATTTTTGTTGTTTTCAAAGTAGAATCAGATTTACCACTATTTCCAGCGCAGCTCTTGTATAGGGCAACAGGGCTTAAAGGACAGAAATATTTAAAAAAAAACAAAAACAACAACAATAAAAAAAAAAACCACAACATTGTGTCTAGCAGCTTTAATCCTCACAAGCCCAAAAATCAATTTTAATTAGTGAAATAGCTTGAGAAATCATGTTCATATACAATGTTTCTGATCCCAAGGAAGTTGATAGCAATGTTACTATTGACTTTAAAGCAAATAGGGTTGAATTCAGCAACCTCAGACATTTTCCTTATTTATTTCTATAAGGCTGAGTCTCAGTGAGCAAAACATGAATGTATTCTTCAGTCATTTCTACTCAATGGAATGGTTTTGATGCAATTGAAAGGCTCAGTTAAGGAGCAGGCGAGGAAATCTGAAGACATATTTGCTGACCAAATTAAAGATACTTTAATTAATTTTTAATAAGTTCATTCAACTAACGTAACAAGATTGGAAGAGATACCCATTTGCTTAGGAAGACAATACTCTGTTTTGGTTCAGCAGTGGCATGACACATTGATTTGCTAGAAGAGAAAGTGACAGAAACATTGCACGCAATTGCATAACATATACTGTATCCAGAAAACTGCTCTGTTATATACACACACATATATATATTTTTTTAATCAGCAATTCACAGTACACAGCAAAATGCCAGTTGTGATGAATACAGAAGACTACAGACTATTTATAATTTTGATTTGAGACTGAGCCCTCTACACTTTCAGAACTATAGCTCCTACTTCAATCACAAATTTAGAAGTGGCTCTGGTTTAAGTGCTCACCACCACACAGCCATTCATTCACTGCCCTATAAGTGTTCTATTTACATTCAAACACCCTGTAATTTTATCCAGCAGAAAAGGCTTTCACATGCAAGAGGAAAAAACAACAAACCACGAGTCAACCTTCTAGGGAATTTCCAGATAATCCAAACAAAACAAAACAATAAAAATGCAAAGCATGTTGAAAATTTCTATAATTTCTGGATGGATCTGCATGCATACTCTACAACCTGTGCTTGTTTAGAATACCTTTTTGCAAATGCTGAGTAGAACGGAAGGATCACATCTTCTCACCTACTGGCAATACTTCACCAAATGTATCTTAGAATATTGTCAGTCTTCTTAGTGGCAAAGACTGCTGCCAAGACTCCATGCCTTTGCTTGGTTCAAAATAATGCAAACCCACAAATATTTTTACGTGGGCTTTTGTATAAGGATGCAGATCATTATATTTTGTCAGAATGCCAATGTAATGCTGCAATTGCTCTGGTTATATTAATGTTAAAAAGAGTCTATTGCATTAACTGCTCATACAACAAAGAACCCTGCTGGACCTACAATAGAACTTTGATGTTACTTAGCAAGGTAGATAAAGACAGCAGAGAAGAAGCAAAGTTAGGAAAACATGCATCATATGTATGAGAATAAATTATCTCAAGCTCTAGTATAGCAATTCCCATTGTACCATTCCTTAGACTGATAAAAATATATATAGTTCACATATTCCACATTACATTTTTCTTACAGCATATTATATTCGTAAAGTAACAAACCACTGACCTTGAGCCTTAAATCTGCATTTCTGAATTCCATGTTTAGTGGTTCAGTTTCTCCATAGGATCTGCATCTGTTCAATAAAAACAAGGAAATCTTTCCTTTAATAACTTTTAACTTTAACTATGTTTCAATTGAAGTAGTTAAGTTTTATATGACTCACAGGCCGTGAACTACATAACCCATCAGCATTAAAGTTATTTTATTTTATTTGAAGATTGTTTACTCCATCACCACGTCTACTTTGCTTGTGAAATAACATCCAGTGTTCTATCTGTAAGAGACATGTTACTACTGTACTAGGTGAGAAAAACTTAAGAGATGTTCCCTTCAAAATTAGCTGAAGATGCTTGAAGTAAACATTCTTTTTGAATCTATAAATAGACATCAAGCTAATAGTTATTACATTCAATAATTTAGCATGATATGCATGACAGCTTCAACCTCCAAAATAATTTAGCGCCTTGAGCTGAGATTAAATGCAGAACATTAATTTTTCCCTCCGGTTGTCAGGCCAACCAAGAGGCCCCGTCAAATCCATTTAAATAAAGTCTGCATCATGTAATAATATTAAAGAGGATAAAGTATTAATACGGGACTGTGATAGAACAGTAGACAAAATAGCTTCAGTAAGGAAGCTTTAATTTACTATATCCATGATATGTCTTTGTACTGAAAGCAGGATTTAAAAGTCCAAAGGAAATCATATTTGAGTTTATATGACATGCATTTATAAAATGCTACTGATTTTCAGTAGCTGAGAATATTTATCATTATCATATAGAAGAAATGATGGGTCCTAATTTCATTGCAAAGATGTAAAAAAAAAATATTGGACAAAAGATTCCCTCACACAGCGGTGTTATTTCAGGGATAGCAGTATGGCCATATCCATTTAGTGTCTGTAATGAATTTTTCATTCAGTTGAAGGATAAATGTCATGCAAAGCCTCAATAATTTGTTCACTCAAATGAAAAAGAAAAAGAATGAAAGGATAGATAGGCTCACAGACCAAACTCCAAACATTTATGTGACAGATGCTTTATGAAAATAGCAGTTTTTCTGCCATCAGCACATAACTACTATGAGAAATAACTAAGATAGAAAAAATTAAAGCAAATTTCTAAAGTTTCCTGTTGAAAAACAAACTTGCAGATTTAAATGCCTAATTTGCCTGATCAGTGTGATTGAATATATTTGTAGAAAGAATATCAATAATGCAGTTATGAGAAAACAGCCTAAAGTTGAGCTGAAGTAGTTTAGATTGGATATCTGAAAGAATTTCTTCACCAAAAGGGTAGTTTGGCACTGGAGCAAGCTTCCTTTGAAAGTGATGGAGTTGTCATCTGCTTCCATTGAAAGTGATGGAGTTGTCATCTGCACAGATACTTAAGAGATGTGTTGACACAACACTTAGAGACAATGTTTAGTTGTGCACTTGGTTGTGTTAGGTTGGTGATGGGATTAGATGATCTTTAGGTTCTTTTCCAACCTAAACTGTTCTATGATCACATGCAGGGTTTATTCAGTGTCACATTCTTTTACTCCATTACGGTTACTTCAGGGCTTTTTTTGTTTGTTTGTTTGGTTATTTTATGAACTCTTTCCAAAGAATTTACTTATCTAGATACAAAGTTGGAATCAACTTTTAAGAATTTATCCTATGTCATCTAAATTCACATAAGTATACTGCACATTGAAGCTCACAGAAGCATTGCTGATGACTATCCCAAAGACACAATCAAGACTAGGAACTGCATTTGTGGCATAGCTCCAAGTTCTACCCCAAACACGCCGATGATTCTTGCATAGTTTGTCCACTAAGACTAGCCAAGTGTGCTGTATCTGACCAAAGATTACTATCCTTAGGAGACTAAAATATTGGACTGTCTAATATTCCTTAAAAGACATTCCCTTAAAATGCATTCAATGCAAGCTCAACCATCATAACTTTACAGGTTCTGGACTGGCAGAGGAGACCACTCAGGGTAAGCTGAACTACACAAACTTCTTAGTAGATATTTCTAAATGGTTGATGTAGAACAACATCCCTGATGGCTGCTGTAGGCCACCATTAGTAACAGTTTATGTAGATGGTTTAGTCTGTATTAGTTCCCATATTAGTTGGTTTAGGTTGCGTTGTTTTTGGTTTTTTTTTTGTTTGTTTTTAAGTATTCACCCATACTGCTCAATACACACAGCGCTCACATTCCATATCCATAACACAAAGCTCCCCGAGTCTTTTCCCACACAAGGAGGTAAAAGCTACCCACAGTGAACACAACATAACCTTGCTTCCTGTCACTTTCATTGCTCACACTTTTTCTGGAACATCAACATTACAAAAAAGGGATAATGTATGCTTCAGTGATATTTGAACTTCATGCATTTTGATTCTGATAGAAACTCACCACTCATACTCCGTATAGATAAATGGATTGCTCTTCATCTTCATAGATAGTAAAAGCAATTTAGTTCCCAATTTAAGGTTGATATAATTGATAAATACTGAGTAAAGGGTAATAAGCACAGAAGTTTTACTAAAACCAGTAGAAATGCATTGAAGCTTGCTATTTGTTGCTGGTAACATTCGTTGATTGGTTTTGTTTGTTTCCTTAAGGCATACTCTTTATTGTTGTCTATTTGTATTTCACATTTGTAATTCTGTAGCCGTCTTTCACAATTAAAGTTAGAGAGGCTGTGGAACATAAGATGCTATAGCCATTTGGTGCCAGCTATGGAGAGGAAAAAAAAAATTACCTAAGAGAAAAATTTCCTTTGGTATTAATTGCATTCTTATCCACAACGCATCAGAAAAAGCATAGGGGAAAAAAAAAAAAAAAAAGAACTCAAGGGCCAACACAAAGATTTCTAAACTTTAAAATGCTATGTTTAGGGCAGCAAAACTCAAGTATTAAACACAACGATCTTAACATCCTCAGAATGCCTGCTTTCCTCTTGCATGTTTTGAGGTAATTCCTCCGTAACTACCACAATGTACTTGAAGAATATATATATAGATATATACTTTAATTAACAAAACCTATTATATGTCAGTTTGACTGCATCTCTGACCAGCACATGAGAAGGATATTTCTTATTTTCAGAAAAGATGTACTTCGTATTTTTGAGCTTGCATTTGACCATCTCAGTGTGAGCCCTAAGCACATCCTAAAACTATGCAAGGAGAGTGCAAAGGCACAAAGCATTTCCCTGCCTGTCCCTCTGTACTCTGACAGGGACTGCACCAAGCTGAGCGCCTAAAGACACAAATCACCTTGAAAAGACTGTGAGAGCAGAACTACAAGTTCCAATGCAGCACTTCAGCCATATAGAGCACAAAATCAGTTAACTGCAGTAATACCAAACTGGAAATACTCAGTCTTGAAACAGTCACAGAAGTGTTCTATATATCTTCTTTTTGTTTGTTTATTTGATTAGTTTTTGTTTGTTTGTACCTTTGTCTGGAAGTGACGAAATGGATCTGTGCTTGCTTTATATTGTGGATGATTCCCATGCATTTTAGTTTGTCTGTTCAGGTATGATGCCAGGTTCATCAGTATAATGTATTTCCATAAATAAGTAGTGCTGTTGACATTTTGCAATACTCTTAATTATAATAAAACAGGAGCAGATAGAATTTCTCTTTACTATATTGTATGACACTGGAAATAGCTTTAAGAGGTGTTACAATAGATTCCAAAGGCAGTGGCATTTTCAGATATCAAAAACCATGTCAGATCTAAAACACACCAAACGTCCTGCTAAGATATTCCATGTTTTTGACTTAAAATTACATAATAGATCATGACAGTTGGAACCAATGGCAAAGTATCACCTCCCTTGACTTGCTTCTGCTTGATCTTTCGAAGGATCAGAGCTTTCAGTATGACCTCATGTCAGAGGAGTACGCAGGGCAGGATCTTCAGGCAAAGAACTCATATCATATGGGAAAGCAAACAGCTACTCCAATTCAACTGAAACTTTTCTGAGCATACTTAGAAGCAGCAGTCATCCTAAACGTTGACAGCTTATCATTATCCTTTCTTCTATTCCCCTCCTCACTACAAAATTAAATCCCCAAGAGACCTGAATATGGCAGAAAGCATAAAGGAACTTCAATAATAGTAGCTTGAAGCCTCAGCACTTAGATTCATAAAGGGCCAGTACAGGTCATCTGTTCATCCTACTGAGGTGATGAACAGGAAGTTGGAAAATTCCTCTACACCTATAACAAAAAGTGATAACTTTACCTGTAATTTTAATTAGTATCCCTAGGTGTAAACAAACCTTACCATCTAATTTTTCAACTCTAGCTACAGAAACACACGTGAGCTGAGTAACAGTCCTGTACCTAACAGTGTAAATGGAGCAAAGTCTCTGCTTTGGAGAACTGACAGGATCTGAGACAGAAGCACTGAAGAATGAAAATGGCAATAATGAAGGGAAGCAGACACAAGGAAAGCAGCAGCACTCTGCATGGAGATGTCTTCCTTTAGCTGATCCTCAATTTTTCTGACAACAAGTAGAGATCTAAACTTCCAAACTGAACTATTCAGGCTGACACACATCTGCTGATCATTTTCTAAACATCTCCCTTAGGCCTTAATTCATCAAGCAGTTTAAATATCTGCATAGCATTTATCAAGGAATTACTCCAAGTCATACACATTAAACATCTTCAGAAAAGGTCAACAACAGATAAAATTATTCTAGATGTCACAACTTCATAATGCCACCAATACAAAGCTGGAATTAGTCACTAAAGATACTCAAACAAGTGCTTTATTCAAATATACTGCAGAAATAATTAATAGCATATGTGATAATAAAACTTAAGGACAGCTAACTGTCCTCTTTCAGAGAATACCTATTAACTACAGGGACTTCTGAGTCCTTTGAACATTTATTTTAGTGAAACAGAAGTTCTACTTACTTCACACTTAGACATGTTTAATCAAAGTCTACTGTAATCCACTCTAACCTTCAAGTACTTAGACAGTACAGTTTCTGTAATGATATTATTGTAAACTTTCAGAACACACCCATTTTTTTTAATGACACAACTTCACT